ATTATTTGTTTTTCTATTATTGTTTAGGGAGTGTTTGAAATCAATCATGGACTATTAGTACAAGACAGCAACAGAAAAACTAATAGAGGTACATAGAAAATACAAGATATTAATTTTGTTATGCAACAAAGTGTCAACTTGGCCATTTTTTTTTCTTTTTTGCAAACTCAAATATAGAGGACTATTTTAAAGATTTTTCAAGGTTAGAGAAGTGGTGCAATTAAGAAATTACAGGAAATCATGTTGAAATTCCGTAGAACTAGAACATAATCCGAGTATTAAGCTTGCACTAAGAGTACTATCTAATGTATGTCAGATTCGTATTTCGAAGAGTTCGAAAAACATGACTTTATTTAAGTGTTCTTAATATTATTAATAGATCATCATTACCTAAAAATAGAAATAGGGCCAGCTCAAATTAATGAAAAGAAAAGCCTAATCGATCAAAGTAGTACAACCAAATTCAAATACCAATGCCCCCCCCCCCCCCCCCAAATATTCTAATCTTTTTTTATTATTATTGAAAAGTATCATAAGTAAAAAGGAAATTGAAATTTAACAATGTGTACTAGGATTCTGAAATAAAAAATAAGAACACAATAATCAAATAGACAAAATCATGAGATAATTATACACAAGAATTCACCAAACTTTGTAAAAAGAGATTAAATCAAAAAATAAAACTCACCAGGCCTCAAGAACCATAATCTAGGTGAAACAATGAGGGAGAAAATCTATCTTCAGTTTTGGGGAAAACTAAAGAGCCGCAATTAACTTTGTTGGAAAACAAAATAAAAAGTTGAGAAACTTCTACAATTTTTTGGCAAAAACAAAAAGACCGTGATTTTTTGACGGAAAGCTAAAAAAAAGTATATATTCTATTTTAGCCCCACAATAGCATAAGTTATTATTAATTAAATTAAATACACTAGCAACAACAAAAAAATATTGTTGCCAAATATTTTCTGAGATAGCAACAAAATAATTAAATTGTTGACATTAATTAAAATCGGGAAACAATATCATGATCATTGCAAAACTGTTATTGCAATTTTATTATATTTGGAATTTATTTTATTGCGAAAACGTTTACAAAACAATAGATGTTAATTTTATGAACGATTACTTGACTTACAATTTATTAAATCAGATTCAAAAACGATCTTTTTTATAAAAACATATATAACTCAATATACCTCTTTGAAAAATTAATAAAGAACATCAAAAATGCTAAAGTTGATCTCAGAAACACAAGTAGGCTATAAGTTGAACTTGCTATCACTTTACTCATTTCATCAACTTAAGTACGTTATAACTTATAATGTATTCATATTGATCCACTAAAAAAGTATGAAAGGTCAATTTCCAGTAAACTTCAATAAAACTTTTAAAGAAAATAAATTAAAAGTTAAAGCTATAGCTTGATAACTAGTAATTTTTTTTCATCCGATGTCCGAAATGTGCATTGGATCTTTAAATAAATTCAAATCACACTGCAGGGCTTATTTAGGGGTGACACTCCTAACAAAATTTCCATATTTAAGGCTTGAACTCGACACTTTTAATTAAGATCCAAACAATTTCATCACCGCACCGCAACCCATAATAAGCAGATACTCATTCCCTAGTGTAGATAACTAGATCCTTCTATTCGATATGAATAGGTATAACCGTATAAGCAATTTTCTATGTCATGATTATTAATAGTCATTGTTAATATTATAATAGACCCATTATAAGCATATGTACATATCGCACATTGATGAGCCTCTACTACGTACCCTTTGTATTAGATTTCTTAAAAGTGTCATAGACTTTTATTTGTATTGAATAGCCTTAAACGGTCATTATGAGACCATTATCATTTGTTCAATTCTTCATCCATTCTTAAGAGAGGGTTTTTATCTATACATGTTCAATGTCTTTTTCTTTGGGTGTACAACAACCAAGAAAAAAGAATCCACCTTTCGTTAATATTATATGATGCTAAATTTTCTTTCTTAATAAATGTTTAATTAATTTATGTACTCCTAGTAGTTAATAGAAGAAAACACTAACTATATTTTTCGTAAAATATCTTTATGAACAGTGTTTTGATCGAATAATTCAAGATATAGGAAATGTTCTTAAAACTTTCATTCTCAAGTATTTTCGTAAAATTTCCAGCAATTTTTAGATATTTTATTAATATTATTATGAAGGATACCAATTACAATGAACATCGAAACGATGGAAAGGCATGCAGGAGCCACTTTGGTCCACTAATCATTAGTATTGAAAATGGAACGAGTTAAATTTTAATTGAATTGCAGAAGAGTATTATAGGATTTTCAAGAGAAATTGGACTCTTAAGTCTTGTTGGATTTAAGACTGAGGCTTCCACGGAAAATGCTGTTATTATAAAATATGTCAACTTGGTGGAAATTCTAATGAATATGAATTATTGATCAAGGATGGTTTTGGGTGTTGTACCGTGGACTTTAACTCTTCTTGTATCCATGTGAATTTGTTTGTGAGAGTGAAAGTATATATCTTTATAATTATATGCCTAAAAAATTATGAGTCGATTGTGTAATGGGACATTTCCCTAAAAAAGTGAGGGCACATAGATGGTTTGAAGACCTATTCAACTTCTTTGATTGATGATATATATGATTGTAATTCCGATGTATTATGTTAGTGACCCAATTTTAGACTGCTATATTTTGATTAAACTATCTTGTTCTGAATTATTTTAAGCAATTTGTATGAGCGTTGTCGTTATGTTTGACTTTTCTTATGTGATCTACCTAGGAGAAGACATGTTTGAAGTATGGATTGTAGTGACCAAGGTGAGAGAGTATCTTGTTAGTTGTTTGCGGATGAATAAAGATTCAAGTGCGGGGTGATATTGCTGGTGCATTCTATCACGATCCAGACAGTCGCGATTGACGCTCACACTAACCTTCCAGTGGAAAATCATTAATACGTATAACCCTAACTAACAAATTTTATGAAAACTAAGGCATTTAAATATACGGAAGAAGATTTTTTAAATGACAATAAAAATATGGAGTTCCCATAAACTCCAAAGGTTTAAACTAATAATTAACCAACCTAATGCGGAAGAACAACCCATAAAACCTGAAAGTCATTGTACCAAATTTCTACTAACGATAAGTCTAAGAGTAAGGAGTTAAACCTGGAAACTGAATTACACCTTAAACAAATAGTCAGAGTCTGAAAACAGTGAAGCTAAACAAGGTAAGATAAAAAAAAAAGGGGGGGGGGGGGGGTCATTTTTGTTTTTTTTATCTCTAAGAAAAACCCCAAACTAATTTCTTTACTAATTAAAGACCCAACACTGTCACACCCCTTTTTCGCGCGGCGGCGTAAGGGTTTTTCCAATTTAAGTGACGTTATTAATTAGGGGATTATTTTGATTTTTTCAGAGTCGCCACTTGGAATTGAGTTACGGTGTTCCAAGTCACCTTTTTTGTTTAATCCCTAATCAAAAGGAAATTACTCTTTGTTTGGTCTGCGAACGAGTTCGGATAAGGAATTCTGTTGACCAAGGGGAAGGTATTAGGCATCCCTCGAGTCCCGTGGTTCTAGCACGGTCGCTTTATGGACATTTATGACTTAAACTAATTTATGAATATTGTATTATTAAGACAAATGTATTTACCCTCATTCTTTGATTTATTTAAATATATTAAAAACTACCTTATTTTATTAATTCATGCCCTTTAATTAAAAATATATATACACATATAAATTAAATCAAGCAAAGCAGAATAAAATAAGATATTCTTTATTATTTTTATTTCTTTTGTTATTATTATTATTTTTTATTTTTTATTCTATTTTTTACATTTTTTTTCTTTTTACTTTTTCATCTTTTGCTATTATTATTATTTATTGTTATTATTAATTTTTATTCTTTCAAGGTTTCATTTGTTTTGATTTTTTTTATTTCAATTTTTTTTTGTTTGGACAAAGAAACTTTAAATTAAAAAAAATCATTCCTCTTCAATTGATTTTTTAATATTACTTTTATACTTCTTTTCTATTATTTTTTGTTTTCTCTTTTCCCCTCTTTTTTATTATATTCATTTTCACTGTTTATTTTTTATTTAAACTTTTCCCTTTTTCTTTTTATTATTATTATTATTATTATTATTATTATTATTATATTTTTTCTTTTCTTCCACTTTTATTCGATGTTTTTTTACGTCACTAACATTACACGAAAATTCTACTAATTAAAATTAATATTTACATAATAGCTACACATGTTATCATTATAAACTAAATATTAAAAATAAGAATAGACTTAGACAATAATTTTACTTAGGCATGAAATAAACTATGAATTATTTAATATGATATAAACTACGGTTTGTTATAGCAATTTCACACAAAATAAAACTATATAAAGGATCTAAACAAAACATAAAGTTGATATTAAATATTTGAACAAACTTCATATAAAATATAACGGTTTAACCACATGTGAAACTTGACAACTTTAATATATTGTAATCAGTGCTTGTATAAACATGATATTAAATTATATAAAAAAAAAATGGTACCTCTTGCGAAATTTCCGCCAAAAGAAAACAATTCGAATAAGGAACCGCGAAAGTAAACCTCAACTTCAACCTTTGTTTGTGATTTTCAAAAAAAGTAAGAATATGAGAATAATATTTTTTACGTATGTGTTGCCTTCTTTTCTTGATTTTTTTCCTCTCTTTCGTTCTTTTTTTTACCTCTCTGATCTTTTTTTTTCGTCTTCTCTGTTCGTTGATCTCTGATCCCTTTCCCTTTCTCCTTTTTTTTAAATGTTGTGTCTAGTGTAGTGTTGTGTGTTCGTGTGCAGGTAGTGGGGAAGTGGGGAATGGGAATCGTGGGTCCTTTTTTTTTAATATTAAATATATATATGAAAAATAAAAATTATATTAATTGCTAATTGTTTTGAGTAAATAAATAAATAAAGCCAAATAGGTAATTAAAATAAAATTAAGACATAATTAAGAAATATTAGTTTATTTAAATAATATATATAATATATATACATACATATATATATATATATATATATATATATA